ATTCTGCCTCGAAGGCAGTCATTCTAACAGCTGATGCCCAAGTCTGGATCGCAGCATACTCGAGGCCACTCTGCAGCTCCCTTTCTTTCTCCATGATATAGTACTCAGCTCTGGTCCGCAAGTATGGGCTCAGAATCTTGTATCGAAACCCGTCCTTGTAGAAGCACGTCAAGTCCACCGGCTGATTCAGACGTATACCTCGGACACCTGTAGTCACCATTTTTAAGGCAGACGCCAGCTGTTCCTTGGTGGTCTGCAACCCAATGAACTTGTCAAACAGCTTGCTTGTATACGGTTGCTCGATCTTCTGTTTGAAACGCGGGGCGTCCCCTTCCACTTCTTCGTAGAACCGCAACAGCCGGGGCATCCCACCAGTTAGACAGTCAAGTGCTTCTAACCTGTATTCCGGAAGGCTTGACAGTCCAATCCATGTTTGGAGCTCATCGTCCGTGTAAGGACCGTCGAAGTCGAATGTTGGAGGAGGCTTATCACTGGCAGCAAATATTCTGCGTTCCCTGCTGTTGGTCGACGAAAGCTTGACGAGAATGTGGATACCCGACATTACTGCATCCAGTAGAGCCGCCTGCTCTTCAGGAAAGTTTTCAAACTTGTCCCAGTCGTCTACCACGAACAGCAAAGTATCCAATTGAGCCGCACAGCAGCGTTGAATCTCCTTCATGCTGTCTAGGGCAGCCAAACGCTCGTCACCGCCGCTTGCCACCAGTAATGCGTGCCGAAGGACGTGCACAGGCGAAGAGATGAACCGAGCGGCGCATAGGTACACCACTTTCCGCTTCAGACGCCCCAGCATGTAGCCAGCTATGGCGCTCACTGCAGTGCTCTTCCCAGAGCCCTTGGCGCCCTGAATCTGCAACTCAGCACCGGCTTGAAGCCCTAGCATCACTGCGAGCAGATCCTTGGCCCTGCGCCTGCCTATGTACCTGAATTCCCTTGCCGACTCGACGTTGTGATATTGCGTAGGTTGTACAAGCGTCTGGAATTTGCTTGTATCCCACAAGAAATCGGCATCGGCTGCTGGTACATCGCCATACACCGCCTCAAGATCGTTCAGGACAACCTTCGCCCGCGCAAGGAACGCAGAAGCGTCTTCCCAATCCGCACTCCGCTTCATGCCCTAAAACCCAGGGTTCCATCGGAGGAATCTCAAGCTGGATTCCACATCAGCAGGAGAGACAAAGAAAAGTGTTAAAAAAATTTAGAAGTCCTAGGTTATGCAGATGATCACGCCTGACACAGTTTGTTCTTGATCCGCCTTCCGCAATAGAAGTGGCCCCAGCATAGTGTCACTGTTTCTAACAAAGTCATGATCATGCTGGTATTTTTCGTTTGCTGTAGGTGCGGATTAGCAAAAGGTGCTTGGTCCTCCTCCCGCTGGCTTTGTGTTCACGCCAAAGCACAAGTCGAATGCATACGACAAGGCAGAAAACGGATGAGCAAGCTGCTTCGCATACAACGGGAGTTTGCACGCGTTCAGAGCTCCAATAGAATGACGCCAGCACTCTCTGTGCTGTGGAGAATCCATGAGAATAATCGTCTATGGATACGAGACGAACGGTAAAATTTTACATAGCAAAAAATAGCATGTCCACTGAGCGTTGGCGATTCCCGCTTTCAATGTCACTGGCTTTGGTGACTGGATGATTGTGAACTGAGGTTTACTCCTCTTTAAAAAAGGACGGGATCTGCATGGTTCTCGTTGTATCAATAAAGCTTGAAAAGGTAACAATTCCACTTGTCCAGGAGGATGATCTTGCTAACTTGTTCGAGGATTATAGTAAAACATAAGCATCAACATATCCCATGTAGGATATGAAATGGATGGTCCTAATTGGACCACATAGCTAGAAATTGTGCTTTTTATATGTCTTTTCCAAGTGAATCAAGACATTATCAATGAAGTCAATAACCATTTCTAGCATATTTTAAAGAACTTTATCCATCATCAGCTAAAAAGTTATTAAAATATTGTTTAAGCAAATTTTAGAATGGCCATGAATTTGTCAAAATCAACTTGTAAATTTTTATGAGAAATATGGTATCTAAGATAAATGATGTTCTTGGACCCAAACACGCACTTTGATCACTTCAACTTTAAATTAACTTCTACAACCGATCCAACACTTTACAAATATTATGGATATGTTCCTCCTACGTCCCCTTAAGTGGATCAAGACATTATCGATGAAGTCAATAGTCACCTCCGATATATTATAAAGAACTTTATTCATCATTTGCTAAAAAGTTGCTAAAATATTATTCAAACCAAACAACATTACAAAGCATTTGTACAAACCAAATGATGTATGAAAAGTAACATTGGGAACATCATTCTCAACTATTAACAATAGCTAGTACCAATAATCAAGATTTAACTTGGTGAATTAATGACTTTTCCCCAAACGATTTAAAAGATTAGCAATGTGAAGAAGAAGATACACATTCGAGATACTCATTTTGTTTAATGGCTGATAGTTGATGTAGAAGTAAATACTCTCATCAGGCTTCATGACAAAATAAGGTTCATACTTAAGAACTCTGCGACTTTCGGATAACACCCTTTTCCAACATTTCTTTGACATTTGCAAGTAAAATCTTAATCTCCTTTGACAATCGATGATGAATATAAACCTTGATTTGATGAGCATCCCCAATTAGAATAGAATGTCGTGTTGCAATCTTAACCCTAGATAACAAATCAAATTCAATACTCCTTCATGAGCCAGTCAACCATTGCAACATAAAGACCAACTAATAGATTTAAAGAGGGAATAGAAGAGCAAAACAAAAACATAAGAGAAAATAATAAGAAGATAAAAGTAACAGAAGCAAAAGTAGAAATAAAGAGACAAAGAGGAACAAAATTGAGAGGAATTGAAGAAATAGAAGAGAGTATCAGACAAAGAGGAGAAGCCTCAAAATTATATTTGACATGATTATGCCGCAACTAATTTATATCAAGGATGAAATCAAAAGTTTAATTCACACCACCCACAACGATTGAAACCCAAGCTTGAGATCACCCGCACAACTAGGTCCACCTACATATACATATGTATGGTTGTTGCCATAAAGAATGAAAATTAGCTTTACAGCACAATGCAAATATAGACAGTAACAGGTTGAGCAATAAAAAATAAACTTAAACCTATATCAACTAACATGAAGAGAATAATAGAAGACATTTTGTTATAGAAACAAGCTTATAAAGTAAACACTAAATAAATTAGTACCAAGTGAGCCCCTCCTAAAAGAAGGATGGAGGGGTCACTAACTTATTTGCACAAGAACCCTTCACTATTCGTATGACTCTAGAGGCATGTGGGAAATTCATACAAATGCCAAGCATCATCCTATGAGACACAAACTCTTAAGCCCCAAAATGGAGTTGAAAGGGTGCCACATGGTAGTGGCTAAAGTAGAAGCCAAATGAGAATAACACGTTTAAACTAAAAGTTCCAACTTGAAAAGTTAAGAGTGAAAGTGGAACTCCTAATAAAATGATCAAGGAATGAGCATAAAACAGGCAATAAGTGAGTCTCTAGAAAAGGGACACAAGAGAACTAACATATAACACATGAAAGAGTTCAAGAAAGAGTTCAAGATGGAGTTTGAGATGGATCTGAGATGGAGTTAAAAATGGACCCAAGATGGAGTCTAAAATAGAGTCCAAAATGAACCCGAGATGAAGTTTGAGATCAAGTCTAAGATGGAATTCAAAATGGACCCGAGATGGAGTTCAAGATGGAGTCTAAGATAGGCCTGAGATGGAAAACAAGACCAAGACCAAGATTAAGTTCAAGTCAGAGTCTAAAACTGAGTCCAAATACTAATACAACATATGGAGTGAAAGCCCAAAGTGATCGTCCCCCAAGGGGCTGTAAAGGGTTCCAAAAGTATAGTAGGGAGAGTGTGAGGGTTGAACTCCAATGGAATTAATTTGGCTAGAAAAGGCCATTGTGACTAAGGAAGGTTATACCTATATATTGGGTGATGATATAACAATTAGGTAGTCCAAGGCTAGAGTGAATATGGACAGATAAGTGGGGTAGCTTAATGAAGTGTTCAAGAGTCGGTAGTAGATCAAATGGTCAATTCTCCTAATCTAAGTGTGGGTGGGACTACCTACTTAGATACTTGGCGTGGCTCATTTGAACCTCACTCTAGCCATATAACTAGGCACCCAAAGGCAAAAGGCAGGGACCCACAAGGTTCACATAGGGCCACAGTATTTTGAGATGTTATCCCAAAGTCCCAAACTATGGAAAGGAAAAAAAACAATCTTTTTATATAGTGATCAAGGATGTAATCATATAGCAAAGAAGTCCTAAAGGTTAATGAGATGTAGTGGTTGGGCCTTCAAGCCCTAATCTAGTGGCAATGTTGGCAAATACAATTGGGGATTTTGTGGGGACCAAAAAAGGATGTTAGGGAAAGTTGTTCCCCATGTCTTCAAACATCCTAAGGATGCTAATAAGTGGTTCTAAAATGACCACTCATGAACGAATGGCCTAGTTTTTGAGAGACGAGATTATAATATGGGTGGTCTAGGACTACTAATAAGACAAAGGTAAATAGTTATGGCCTTAACATAATATGTTGATATGTCAGTAATACCTTTGAAGTGTTGATCATGAGATTGGATACATGGAGCATTTGGACAAGTGCAAAGGTTGAGTGGCATAGATGCTATTCATGAGGTTAAAAAGTCCCTAAGACCAGAATAAGATTTATGGAGGTTGTGAATGAGACTCTTCAAGTGGTCAAAGCTATGGTTAAATGGCTAAACTAGAGTAGAAGATTTAGTTGCTTATGCATCCTAAAAATGATAAATAGCAATCACTGTAAAGTGATCAAACTAACAATACACATCATCTTTAGGATTCTTGTAAAAAAAATTTGGCTAGATGCAAAGATTAGTAGTAAAATCAAAAGGAGTTATACCATACACTATAAATATTACTATCAATTGAGTTTGATTGTTCAACTGCAACCATATAGCATTAAGCAATTGCACCAATTATTGTTCTAGAGTTAAATGAGTAAGAGGGCATTGCTTTCTCAGGAAAATGAATGAAAAATAGAAAAAGCAAAAAAGAAGAAATTGAAAAAGCTACAAGGATAATGAAATCTAAACAATGCAAAAACTAGATCTAAACCAAAATCCCAAATCCAAGCAATCTTTAAGGACAATCAAAGTTGTCCCTCATCTCCACTAATATGAGTTCATGGAATATGGAAAGGGAATACAGAAATATGTATATCAATTAGCCTAAAAACCCTAATTTATGTAAAGGAACAAGTGGTCTAAATTAAAACCAATTTAAAAGTTATCAAAATCCCACTACACTAATATTACTATATAGCCGTTAATATTAGTAGATGGCATCATAGCCATATATCAGGACCTCATAACATGAAATAAAATAATTTGTTATCTTGATTTTTTTTTAATTTAGAAAAGTTAATCTAACTTTTATCTATGGCAGAAACTTAATTCAAATAAATTATTTTAAATATTATTATTAATTATTATTTAGGGTTTAAGGAAAGTATAGCTTTCTTTATTAATTTTTAATTTTTAATATTTATATTTCTTATTTTTTAAATAACTTTTATTTAGCATAAAATTACAAAAATATTAAAATTAAATTAAATTTTATGTTATTTTATGTATACATTAGTATATACATAAGCTGCTGAAATTTTTCATAATAAGCTTTTAACTTCTCAAGTAGAATAAACCAAGTGCAATATTTTATGGCCTGAAAAACCCTTATTGTTTCTTTATCCTATTATAAATGTAAAAAATGAAAATATAATAATTTCATGTTAGGCTTTATAATGTCATTTGGCATAGATGATTATCAAAAATTAAATATTTTTTTGAAAATGATATAATTTTCAAAAAACAGTTTAATTCCTTTTTATTGTGATTTTTTTTGATAAAATACTAATCGTAGCACTAAATGAGAGGTTAACCTTACAGTTATGTGAAAAGAAATTTATAAAAATTATTTTTGCTATATCAATTCTTGTGAACATGATTGATAATCCGCACTTATAACATACTGAATTGATATAATGCCACTAAATCTTTTAATAATAAAATTATCACTTTATATAAGTTTTTTTATTTTTGGAATTAAAATATATAAATTAATATTTTATAATTTCTAATAATATATTAGAAATTAAGGTTTCCATGAGAAAACCATTTGATGTTCCTCACTTCAGATTAATATCAACTTTGCTTCTTCTTCCTAGGATAGTTAGTTTCTTTGGTAATGGATTTGCTTATGCCACCATAATCCAGGCTTTCAAGAATGGGGGCTTGACATGGTGCAGCAAAAAAGGGTATTAATTGAATCCAGATCCAATGGTAACAACACATCTTGCAAACTATAGAAGTATTATGACATCTAGAAATATGTATTAATAGATATTTTCCTTACATAATAATTTATAATTGAACCATCCATGATTTCACCGAAGGAAACCATCTCGGTTTTGGTTGATCCTTTGGTGGGGGCAGTTCCTTATCCTTGCTAGATTTGCTTCTAGAATCTTTGGGAGAACCTTTCACTGTGCTAGCCTCCATCGTCGTCATCACAAACAAACTCCCCATCTGCAAATCCTACTTGGTGATCAACCCTAGACAAAAGGAAAATCAATTAAGTTTAAATGAGGAAAGGATAAAAGGTACTGACAAAGGTGAAGGGCCTTTAAAGTGGGGCAGTCCTCTGTTCTTAGGGTTCCTAATGAGGCGGCTTGTTCTTCCGCGAAGCTTGGAGCTTCTCAAGAAAGCGCCCACCAATCTCTACACGCGCAAATCGCCCTACATCGCCACGATCGAGTCCGTCCATCGCCTCACCACTGGAGAAAATGGAGGAGACACGTACCACATTGTGATCGACCATGGAGGCAACGTTCCTTTCTGGGAGGGACAATCGTACGGAATTCTCCCGCCAGGGACGAATCCAAAGAGACCCGGAGCTCCTCCTCCAAATCGCTTGTACTCTCTCGCGTCATCAAGGTATGGCGATGATTTGTCCGGGAGAACCGCGAGCCTGTGCGTCAAGAGAATCGTGAGCTATGATCCAAACGATCCAAACTCGACCATACCGGGGATTTGTAGCAACTTCCTCTGCGACGCTCGTCCTGGAGATCAAGTTCGCATCGTTGGCCCGTTTGGAAGCTCGCTACTGCTCAACGAGGAAAATCCTCGAGGAGCTCAGATCATGGTTGGAACTGGAACTGGAGTGGCGCCGTTTCGAGGATTTCTTCGCCGGATGTTCGTCGAGGAGGTGCCTTTCAAGTTTGATGGACTGGCGTGGCTGTTCCTCGGCGTCGCCAGCTCTAAGAGTCTCTTGTATCACGACGAGTTCGAGAGGATCGCGAGGGACTTCCCGAGTAGCTTTCGGTATGATCTTGCGCTGAGTCGAGAGATGGTGGATCGAAGTGGAGGGAAGTTCTACGTCCAGCACAGGATCAAGGAGAGAGGCAAGGAGGTGTTGGAGCTGCTCGAGAGTGGAGGACATATTTACTTTTGCGGGAGGGAGGAGATGATGGAGGGGATTCAAGAGACTTTCAGGAAGCTTTGCGGGGATTCTTGGCATGAGAAACTCTCTGGCTGGAAAAGGAATAAGCAGTGGCATGTAGATGTATATTGAGGAGGAGAAGAAAAACTCGGTAGCTTCAATGCTTTGCCTGAACTTGAAAGTTACCGAATCAAAATTTAATTGTTTGTTTCAAGAACGAACACTTGCTGAAAATCTGTATGCTGCAATGGAGTGAGTAAGAATCCAGCTTGAACTTAAAACTCACATCTTTGGGTTCTATTCTTCCACATCCTTGAAAATCCACCTGAAGAATCACCGCATTTTACTCTCACAAACGAACCATTCTAAACATCAACACTCTGGCGAGCTTCAGAGCTCTGCCTGGCAAATTCAGCAACAAAAAGAGTGAGAAAAACGTATGAACTTAATAAGTTACCAAATCAAAATCCTTTCAAGCCGGGGCGAAAAGTCCCGTAACTATTTCTTTCGCTTGAGTGTATGAAAAGAATAAGTCTCGTCTGAACTCTTGTATATCTGTAAACTGCAGTGGAGTGAGACGGGAAGCAAGAATCCAGCTTAAACTTAAACTCACATCTGTGTGTTCTATAACGAGCAGCGTCGGTCGTCAAATCTTCCACGTCCACCTAGAGATTCAGCTTCCGGGGATAAGAAAAGCATAAAAACAAACCATTCTAAAGATCACCGCTTTGGCTCCTTTGATGCTGGAGCAAGTGACTTAAGACCGGCGAGATGAGGCGTCCTAAATGCCCCGGCGTCGAGTCTCCTCCCTTGGGCTGCGCTCTATCCCCAGACGCCGAAGTAGAATGGAGCTTCTTCTGCTCTATCAGCTGGTCCGCAAACCACGACAAGCGCTGCTCATACGTCTCTTCCAGGACAATCTTCTCTCCGAAAGCATTTCGTGCCACGGCCTTTTGCATCAAGAGCTCGTCCGTGAGGCGTGTCAAGTCTTCGATGTTTTTCTGGCTCGCGCAGTCCATGTACGCCATGCTCTTAGGCAGGCCGGAGAGCTGCCAAGACGAACAAGACAAGAATAAGAAAACAAGCCATGTAGACTAAATGCAAAAAACGTGCCTGGATTCGCAAGTAATTGTCAGAGCAATCGTATCCAGCAAACGCGGATGACAATTGATAGTCCACAGTATCTGGATTTAACAAAGACACATGAGAGATGCGAGTTTCTAAGAGTTTCTAGCGATAATTCTCTTACCTGCGGTGCCGTCCATCATAATGTTGAGTAGAGGACGCATCCATCCTGCTAATCCCCATTTCTTGGCAGCGTCAAGCTCGTATCTTTCGTCGAGCTGGCCAGCACCAAGCGACAAGACCTGCAAAAGATCCCTCCGCGATTAATTAAGTACACGGTGACAAAGCCACCACACCATCTCTACGTACGAAAAAGCAAAGTTTTCTTTAAACAAGTACCATCACGTCTTGGAGACCAGTCGCTTCAGGGAAATCCGTGTTGTTGCTCCACGCATGAGTGACTGCAACAAGCGCCTGAAAGGCCAACAGCGAAGCCATTCAGTGGAGCAACAAAACTAAGAGGTGCCCGGTACCGGATTGTTTTGCACTACTGCTCCATCAATGAGTGTTGCTGAGACTTTACCATCCACTGAAGTAACATGAGCCGGACGAAAGTATGTCGGTGCTGCAACCGTGGCACGGCAGACTTCCCAAAGCCTGGAATGAAAATGAACAAACAAATTGTTTAAAGGCAAAAGACCAAGGTGGGGATTTACCGGAAGTTTTTGCTCTCGTCCTTCATGGCTGCCTGGCGCACAAAAAAGAAAGGAGTCGCCTGAGAGATGTCGAACGCCGTCACAAGCACCGGTTTGAGAGTGTCTCTCAGCGTAAGCTCCCTCCCGTCTCGAACGAGATAGTCCTTGAGCAATTTTTCCAATCTCCGAGGAGAGTACTTCGGCCTATACATCTGCCGCACGGAGAAATGAAAAGGATCGTACCATCTCCGCTGGAAGATATGGCGGCCGTTCACGGCGTAGAACCGGCAGCACTCCTGCGCCGTGAAGAGTGGCTCGCCAGCCTCGTCCGGTGTCGCGAGCATGAGAGCTATCAGAGCTCCAGTGCTGGTTCCAGCGAGAAGATCAAAGTAGTCACAGAGTCTAACTCTTGCCATCGTTTTCTCCTGAAAAGACAAGAGAAGTTCAACTTATATAAGTCCATAGCTATGGAAGAGGAACACTTCCAAGTGTTACAAAGAGAAAACTAAAGTTTTAGCTATAAAAGAAAGAAAGAAGTTTACCTGGAGAAATGCTTCCAGTCGACATAGAATTCTTGAGCCGATCAGTCCGCGCATCCCCCCTCCATCCAGGCTAAGAATGCAAAGCTTCTTTCGATTTTCGGGCTTCTCGGAGTGGCCATTTGCCGATATCATCGACCAAACGTCGTCAAGGTCACCAGGCTTACCATTTTGTAGGGCGTCGCCGACTGATTTCGTCCCGTCCAGATCCACCACGGCGGGATCGGAGAGAGCGCCTTCTTTGGCCATCTCCCCCAGCATTTGTGGAGGCGGTTGCGTGGAGCTCGAATTTTTCCCCATCAAGGGATTCCTAGAGTAAGTTTTACTAGGCGCTAGCTACTCGCGATTACCCACCTTGGTGAGATTAATCGATTGAATCGCAGCGGCTTGTTGATCGATCAAGAAGAAGAATCACTCCTCGCTAGAGAGCTAGGGCCGGTGGTCTTGGAAAAGAATGCAGAGAAAACGATCATCGCCGTTAAATGGAGGGAACACGTGTCAAGGCGTGACACTTGGCACAGTCACAGATTGACACGTGTTACGCTTTTACGCAGTTTTAGGGTTTAGAGATGTGACACGTGTCGGTATTTAAATGTGTGCTTCCAAGAAACTTGGGAGATGCTAATAGATACTAAGTATCCTTTTAATATGTCAAGCACTAGATTCGAACCCGACACCTCCAGTGCGGGCGGCACCCGCGCGGCACCGCAGCTCTAACCCTATATAACTAGGGCAGGGCTTTGCATTTTGCTCTGTTCTTCACAGGGCAGTCGAGGCACCTGTATCGTGTCTGTGGCTCCTCCTCTTAGGGTTTATGGTGTCCCGATGATCCAATCTTGTTCTCTCTCTTTTCCGGGGCGTCGTCTCGAAGCGCTGCTGCTGCTCGAGCGGGCGTCTAGGTCACCGATTTCATGCCAGGCAGTGGCGCTGGCGGCTGGAATTTGGTCGACAATGCGGCCGGGATTGGTGTAGGAATGATAGTCTGGTGGCCTGGCCGTGGAATTAGGGTTGGAGGGAGTGATGGCTCCAGACGGCGGCGGCGGGAAGGCGGACGTGGCTGGATTATGGATTGAGTTCGTGCTGATTCCGCAGAGATTGGAGGAGCATTTGGATGGATTGGCGAGCGGCAGGGCTTTGTCTCCCGGGCATGCCGAGCTTGTCAATATGTTTTTGGAGCAGGCTGTGGCGAATCACAAGCTGTCGAGGAAAGAACCGGTACGCTCTTCTCTGCATTGCATCGCATTTTTGTTGTGATATCTAGAAAATTTGCTGCATTGCTATGAGCTGACTGGATTTCTTCTCTCTTTTATCTTCGTAGGATCCTCAGGGCGGTGCTGCGGCAGCACCAGCACCATCGAGGGCTGCTAAAACAGCGTCGTTGCTCTGCGAGAGAGCGGTCAGGGTCGCATCGGCAGCACGGTTTAGCCTTGAGGACATCGAGGTACTTGTTCCGAGGCATCTCCAGTCGCTGCTCCTTAGAGCTTCGGTAAAGTATGACAAGGATAGGTCCCTGTTCCACGAGTGTAACTTCCATCGCTGGGTGATCCACAAAGCTCTAGCACCCGAGGCTTTGAGGCTTTCCATGGCGAGCCCGGCAGTTCGTGCTCGTGATGCAGCCACAGGTGAGCCTGCAGAGATTTTTCAAGATGGATTGTTGCCGGTAAGCGGAGAATCGGAACAGGAAGGCCCCTCGGTCAGGTTCTTGGAGGATGTTCTGGCTTCCGTGGGGGACAAGGTTGATAAGGTTGACAGGACAAAGAAAAAGGTGGGGAAGGCGGTGCCAAACGGGGTTGTGATGGATGGGCTGCAGGAGGATGGTCTGTGCCAGATCTTGTTCGACGTTGCAGAATCACACTTCATGCGGGGAAGGATAAAGAAAGCACACGACCTGTTTAGCAAGTGTGCCTCTCTAGCAGATGGTTACGAGTCGTCCCCTGTCCCTGAAGACCGGCTTCATGGGTTTATAGTTGCTTGTAGAGCCGTGGCTAGTTCAGGAGCAGTGCAGCACCAGACAGAAGGAGACGAAGTGGAAGCCGTTCTCATTTGCGAAAGAAGCCGGGTTTCGAGTAAAAGAAAGAATCAAACTGTGCTTTCCGATCATTGCAATGGGGTGAACGAGGAAAGTCCTCATAAGAAGGTGGATCATAGAGTCAAGCAGAACGGTATTAGTTTTGAGAGCGGCCAGGATCATACGAAACAGGTTTCGAATGGTTACAGAGCGAAGCTGGGACAGGATGCTGTTGAAGATAAAGGTCTGGTGAAAGTTCTGGCTGATGATGTCTTAGCCCATCGCTTGCCTTGGGAATACTGCCTCTCTCTGGAAAAAGACTTCACACTGCCTGCATCAGTCCGTTGTAAAGTTGCTGCGTGCAACATTCTGCGAAGGGTGATTGAAGGAGCTTCTTTCGATTCGTTGCAGCGCTTTAGTGAACAGTTCCAGGATAACAAGGAGGCTGTACAGTTCTTGATGCAGCTTGTGTCCAACGTCAGTTCGGAGGTCAGGGATTCAGGTGGAGATGAAGACCTCCAATTGCTACCACGATTGCAGCAGTTCACCGTCTACTTTTGTTGCACCCTCGAGGAGTCTTGGTGCTGGAAGCTGGTCTGCAAGAAAAAGTTGGTCTCCCCTGAATTCATGTCAGACAGCAAAGAGGGGGAAACGGTCTCTCCACCTGACAAAGGGGAAGCTGTAAAAAGTGGGTTGATTCTTCTAGACATTCTACAGGGTGGTAATTTAGCTTCGGTCGAGCACGCTACTTCGCCAATATTTGAAATGTCAGCTGAAAGTATAGCGAAAGCAGTGCAGCTAAGGGCCTTCGATGCTCTGGACAGAGGAAAGGATTACAATCTGGCTAGGCAACTGTATGATCTGGCCAAGCGCATTTATCCCGAGGCAATCGACAGTGAGCTCTTCCTATGGTTTGTAGATAGGACAGGTGGTGGCGGTGATAGTCTTGGAGTGGCCTTACCTGAAAGGGCCGAAGGATATCTCAGCAGTGACGCCGTAGTGTACATTGTGGTGCGGATTGCTGATGAGGAACGATGGTCTCTAGTGCTGGAGCTTTGTAGCTGGGCTCAACGGAGGCAGTTTATGGATCACAAGGACGTTGCCTCAGTGTTCAGGGAAGCAGCAATCCTTGGCGTTCTGATGCCTATGTGCCTTGGCCAAACGCATGCGCGGGAAGACGAAATCCTTCGGAAGTTCGAGGAGTTAATGACTTTGTCTTTCAGCACGAAAGATGGGTGTTTACTTCCGGGGATGAAGGTGCTGCCAGTCGTCTCCAAACTTTCCAGTGTTCGAGTTTTGGAGGTTGTGGAAAATCTCCTAGCAGGCTGGATAAACAGATGGCACGCAACACCGCCGGTAGAATTGGCAAGATATGGCGCCTTGGCTCGTATGGCTAGCGCTGCTGCGGACTCCAAAAGTCAAGCTCTCAGGACATCTGGCGACTGGGGAAAGATGTTTCATTCGTTGCTACAACGGCTGCTGGAACTTTCGAAAGGCACAAGGGACGACTCCCGGGGCTCTCGATGGCTACTTGGTCTTGCGGATCTCGCATTTGTGGATCATGCGTACCTGAGCTCTCTACAATTCTATCTAGAGGTGCGTATTCTACTCTCTCTGCATTTACGTAGGGTGGCTGTGCTTGAGTTCAGTGTGCATGCATCCATACTTTATTTGTCTAAATCTTTTAAGCAGCGAGAGGGCGGCTTGGGAGAAAAAAGTTTTGACGGTCTTTTTTCCAATGGTGGTTTCCATCACAGGAATCTTTTTTCTTGTCATTAGCTTGCTCGCTTCTGAAGGCTCTGGATTGTCTCCTGGAAGGCTGTGGTGAATGCAGGCATGTTAATTTTTCCTTTTTGTGTTGCTAGTGCTCCAGTTGTTTGCTGAGCTTCCAAACGATGACTGTGCGCTTTTGTAGGCCGGCGCTGTTCGGAGTAGCTTCTATTGCGATCGGGTGGCATCCATGGCCCGTGAATTCTTTACTCCTTGGGTGGTAAGTGCTATTTCTGGTTGACATTTTTGCATTATTTTTGCCGCCTGTTGTGCGTGCTATACAGTTTTTTCTGATGCTAATGCTTGATCAGATAACAAGAATGATTGCTGCGTGCAAGGAAATTGGTGCACAGTTACAGGCTGCCATTCTTTGTCAGTGTCTTCCTGATCCAGACTATGAGTCTGCCTTCCAGATTTTACAGGCGAATCCGCTCATTGTCGATCAGGACGCTGCATTGTACTTCGACTGTGTATGGGAGGTGAGTATGTTTCTATTTTTCTCTTCGCATGTAGTCACAAGATGAATGACATGTTGTTTTTCTACTTCTAGATACCAATACTGGAGCTGCTCGTTCACATGCACGCAAAGGCAGGTGACCGAGCACGCGTTAACACTCTTATAAGCTTGCTCCAACAGCCTGCTCTGAATGTGCATAATCCAGCCTCAATAAGGCAGGCGCACATTGCTGCCATGGAGCAGCGGTTCCTCCAGAGGCTTTACGCGGAACTGGTGTAATGTAAACTATCTTCTTCGCGCTCAGAGGTCCAGCTTGAATTTGCGGCACTCCTGATGCTTCCGAAAAGAGAAACTCTCAGGTACTTCTGAGCCTCTAATAGTAGAATGCTAAACATCAGTTTGCTCGCAGGCTTCTTACTGCTTCATATAGCTCTAAACATCACAGGAGCGGCCATGGCAGGTACAGTTCTGCTGGCTGCTGATTTTTTACTGTAATTTCCAGGTTTCTTTTTAATTTGTAGCTATAGATCTGGACCGTTGGTTGACTGGTGCCTCTCCGCTACGAAGAGACGCACTTGTATACTAGTGTGGACTGAAGTTCCCAGTGTACATAGGGACAGGAGAAACAATGGCAGACTTGGCCGAGAGAACTACTCCCAGTCTCGAGGAAATAGCTCGAGTGGAAGTGGAAAAAACAGGACAAGGAGGAGATACAGGGACAGGGACAAGTGCTGCCCGAGAGCTCGAGTATGGTGAAGTCTTCAAAGAAGAAGAAGTCGCTAGCTCGTCGTCAATGGCTTGTCAATCATATGTTCCCGACGATGTCTGGGTACGTGTTTTTGAGCGGCTACCGTGGGCAGGGGTGGTCCGTGCTAGAACAGTGTGCAAGCGCTGGCAGAAGCTGATCGAGTCCCCTCACTTCGAGCAGGCAGTGTCGTCGCAACCTCCGTGGCTGTTCGTCTCCACGACACTGGACGACACAGTGAAGGACGACCTCCATGCCTACGACCCGGAAACGGATAGGTGGTACAGCGTCCCTCTCGACTTCCTGGTGAAGAACCACTCGGGACCTCGCTGGACGGTGGTCTCGAGCACCGGCGGGCTGGTTTACGTGATGCAGGAGCCGTGCAGGGACCTGTTGATCGACGTGTTTAGCCCGATCACGAGGAGGAAGCGAACGGTGGCCTACTCGGGATACCCGCGCTCCCGCGAGCCGGTGACGCCGGTGGTGTGGACGTTCCTGGGCGACGATGCGTCCCACTCGCGGTGCCACCACTTGCTGGTGGCGTCGAGCTGCGACGGCTGGGGGACGCGGCTCTACTGCCCGACCGACTGCGACTGGGAGGAGGTTGGCGAGGGGCATCCAAAGCTGCGCGACTCGAGGGACTCCAAGTACGCGTGCTCGGTCCGGGACGAGAAGTTCTTCGTGCTGGTGGAGGACGAGATCGACGCGGGGGTGGATCCGTATGGGTTTGAGCAGATCGAGTACCGGATCGTGCTGCTGGGATTCGACGCCGCGGAGGGGTTCTGGGAGGAGTACAGTATGTTCCCGTTTGAGCGGGCCGAGGACGCGGTGATCGTGGAGTTCCACGGCTATCTTCACTTGGTGGCGGCGTCGTGCGAGTCGGACCGGCTGTGCATCCGGGTTTACAAGTTTTTGGAGAGGAAGAGGGATGCGTGGGTGGAGGTGACGGCGACGAGCGAGCTGTGCCCGCTGAGCTTTGGATCGCGGCTGGGCTTCTTTCAGCTGGCGTGTGCCACGGCCGGGGATTTGCTCTACGTTGTGGGCTACTGCGAGGACTCGGCGCTGGCGGGGGTGTGTGACTTCTCCGAGGGATCGCCGAGGTGGAGGAGGATTTCCAGCGTCCCGTTTACGACGGTGGGCTTTTGCTTTTGCTGCAGCAAGAAGATCGATTCATCGCATTTCTGGTAGTCGCGATTTTTTAAAAATAATTTTAATCAAGATATTTGATACCTTTTGATACAATCAAACTCCAAATAAATTTGATATAATTACATGAACTTATTTGTAAACTTAAAACTACAGATAAGTATATTTACCATTTATTATTTATATTTGGATTAAAGTTTTTCACCCATAAAACAAAACAGGATTATACAGGACAGACCCGATGCAGACCCACTATTTTGAAATGTTTTCATTGTAGAAGTTACATTCTTGACTTTGCGTAGTCCTCTGCGCCAAATGTACCAAACAATTCACACCAGAGTTTTGGCGCTCGTTCTCTCGAGTTCTGTAATGCCGCGGACTTTACTCGTGAGCACCCCAACGCCATAACACCGGTGGTCCGAGAGTTCTTGTTCCAGGAAATCCTCAAGTTGATTGACAAGATTGCCTAGTATCTATCTTACTATAAAGCCATGGGGTTGCCATCCTCTGTGGAGAGAACTTGGCCTGCAAAGAAATTTCATGCTAGCGGGAAGATACACTAAGTTAAACTGTTGCTGAAAAGAAAGTTTCAAGAGAATTACACGATCCTGTTGTAGCAAAGAATATATTTTGGAATTATAACATGATCCAGATTGGCGATTTTATAATGCTCCAAACTATAATATCTACAGGACGTGCCAGCAATCAACTCCACATGGATTCTGCAAGGGTGTTCTGAGGATTGGAAAGGTGTTGGTCTCCATGAATGAAGAGAATTTTGCTAACAAAGGGAGCTGGAGTTAACTGGATGGCAACCTTGTTGTACAATCAGAACTTTAAAGTGATATGGACGTACAGCGTCTATTGTAGGAGGCCTTGCTGATTGGGACTGGCCTTGTTTGTAACATAATGGTATTCTTACAGTAAAAATTACTGAGGAAAGATTTATTTCTCGAGGAAGCTTCAATCAGAGACTTGATGTTGCACTGATACTACCGAAAAGTAATGATATTTAGAGTTGAGCCTGGTGACAGGAAAAAAACAATGTTTAGTGAAGACAGAGATCTCTTGAGCTTGGGAGTTGAAAGCCCCCAAAGAAACTCAAACGATCAGCTGGCACAATGTAGGAAAGAAAAAATGAAAGAAAACTTACCAGAAGAATGCACCACCAACTTCAGAAAAATCGAAACTTGCTCGATGAAAAACACTCCATCCAGTTGGAAACACTCGTCGCCCTTTCTGCTCCACATTCTAGTCTCGTATATATGAAAAGTCAGTAGATTTTTCTTTAGCAAACACTTTTAGGCTCAGTCTAGCAGCAATTAGTATTTGATAAAGTTTTAAAATTGCAAAATTTAAGTTAACTGCTACAACATCTGCTATGTCAATGGTGAAATCCAGGCTTGCTGAACCATAAGGTCATTCTTTCCCCATCAGTATTTTCCACTGTAAGAAGACCATTGTTTTGCAAGCACAAGGCCAGTGCCAACCAACAAGGCCTCTTACAATAGAAGCCGTATGTCCATATCACCTTAAAGTTCTGATCATACAAAACAAGGTTGCCATCCATTTGCAGGCGAACAAAACATCCAGCTCCAGCTCCAACCGTGCCAAGATCCCAGACTGGATGACTCGTATCATCCTTCATAGCATCGCCTTTGTAAACCACAAAGTTGCAATCGTTTTGGATCTTGGCAAAATATTCCCCATTGGTTGAGACCAACACCTCTCCAATCCTCAGCACACCCTGGTGGAATCCATGAGGAGCTGATCGCCGGCATGTCTTGTAGATATCACAGTTTGGAGCATTATAAAATCCCCAATCCGGATCATGTTGGAACTGATTAATATTATAAACATTGGTAATGTTGTTACTAGACACAATTTTTGGATCGCCCAATTCTGTTGAAACCGTGTCTACGTTATTATTCCTTTCAGCAACTGTGTAGCTCATAGTGTATCTTCCCTGGATGACCTCAACACTGCCATGAAGATGATTCGCAATATCATGCATCATGATAGCGAGGAGCTTCCTGAAATTTCTTTGCAGGGCAACTGCTGGAGCCTGGATTCCCACTGTGGGAAATATACTGCACATAATTTCTTTGTACCAAGGTCTCTCCAGCTCTCCCCAGAGGATGGCAACCTCTGCGAGCCTACCATCTCCTGTGGGGAGATGCATCATTATAAATCCCATCTCTTTGTAGTAAGATAGATGCCTTGGTATGCCATCAATCAGCTTGACGATTTCCTTGAACAAGAACATTCGGATCCCCGGTGTTATGGAATTGGGGCGCTGATGAGTAAAATCCGCAGCGTTATACAACTCGGGAAGAGCACAGAGGGAGAGAAGTATTAGCAAGAGCATGAAACGAGAAAATGCCATAGAGTTGCCTGTCTCATTGCATGAGTCCTCCTGAGATTTACTTAAAGAGAACTGCGGATATAAAGGAGAGAATTTGCTTTTGGATATGCGAGCACCAAAGCTCTGGTGTGATTGCTTGGTACACTTGGCTTGAAAACATATTTTGCTTGTACCTTAAATCGGACTAGAATTTTCAACACTTGTAAGCATATCAAGCCGACCACCTGTTTTGTCCAGCCCGAATTCCCTAGTAAAATCTAAGAAGAGTAGCAGAAAGTCATAGGTTCGAACCCTGTCCATCGCGCCAACTACTTTAAAGGATCCAGACAAAAGGAAGAAAGGAAGGAAGAACTCGTGTATGGCAGGAACTCCGATTAGTGATATCGACAGGGTATGTGCTCTGCTCTTTTGGAAATTCTAATAATGCCACTCTTGGGCATTGGAATTGTAGGGTTTTAAGCTCGAGAAAAGGCGGTGGAATTGGCGCCTAGCGCAATTCTTATTTTAGGTCATGGCCGCGGATCTTCGCGTGGCGCTGCTGCCCGGCGAGGAATCCACACCATGCACAGAGAGCTCCGGATCGGCGGCGCCGGCGCTCAAGAATGACGATCGCAAGGCTGACAACGCCAGAGCATTGGATTGCCTCGAGGAGGAGGACCGATTGGTGCTGTGGGAGGAGGTGAAGCGCCAGTGCTACATTGCGCTGCCGATGATCTGCGTCAATCTCCTCCAGTTTTTGATCCAGGTCACGTCGGTCATGCTCGTGGGGCACTTGGGGGAGCTCCAGCTCGCCAGCGCTTCCCTCGCCACATCCTTTTGCGTTGTCACTGGCTTCAGCTTCCTGGTACGTGTCGAAATTCGGCGAAATTCGAGAGCTAGAGCATTTCAACCGCATAACTTTTGCATCATCGCGAGGAGATTTTTCGTTTTCATTCTCGCTTCCTAGTGTGTTCTTCGTGTGAAGCATGTAAGTTGGAGTTTCCTATTTGATGTTTGAGGGTTTCTTTCTGGTACGTATGGCTCACATATGCTTCCTTGTCCTTTAGTTTATCGTCTTGACTGGTTATTTTGTCCTCCCAGTCAGCCTTTCAATGTGTATCTATCGTGTCAGGGCGTGTCGCTCACAGTTTTGTTGTTGACACCTTTTTTGTCTAGATGGGCATGGCAAGTGGTATTGAAACTCTTTGCGGACAAGCGTTTGGAGCACGGCAGTATCACTTACTTGGCATTTATCTACAAAGAGCTGTTGTAGTCCTCCTCATCCTATGCGTACCGATTGCCGTGGTGTGGCTCAACGTGGAACATCTTCTCAAGGCCCTGGGACAGGATCCGGTCATCTCTTACAACGCTGGGATCTACGCTCGATGGTTGATCCCGGGACTGGTTGCCTACTCGGTTCTCCAGCCGCTTGTCAAGTTCCTACAGACGCAGAGTGCCGTGATCCCGATGATGTTGTGCTCGCTGTTCACGCTGAGTGTCCACATTCCACTGTGCTGGGTTTTTGTCTACAAGCTTGAGTTTGGTGTCAAGGGGGCAGCCATAGCGGCGACTTTTTCCAACTGGCTCAATGCCATACTACTGGCGAGCTATGTCAAGTTCTCGAAGACATGTCAGAAGACGTGGACCACTTTCTCGGCGGAGGCTTTTCAAGACTTCAGAGGCTTTTTCCGGCTCGCTATACCTTCGGCGGTTATGATCTGGTAAGAAAGTGTTTATGGTTTAAAGCAGTGCTGAATTTTTCGTGTTCTGGCAGCTTTGAGTACTGGTCGTTCGAAACTCTCGTACTTCTTTCCGGAATTTTGCCCAACCCTCAACTTGAAACGTCAGCTTTCTCGATTATGTAAGTTTGTGGGAAACTAGAGTTTGTGGTCCTCATCTCTTCTGTTGCAGATTAAACACATTGTCTCTGTGCTATATGGTTCCTTATGGCCTGAGTGCAGCAGCAAGGTAGGAGAATTGACTCAAAAAACCTTTTTTTTCCTTTGTAATTTTATAAGTTTTTGCTTTGGCAGCACTCGAGTGTCAAATGAACTTGGAGCTGGGCACCCAGTGTCCGCAAAGACTGCAGTATGTGTGACAATTAGCGTTGGACTTTTGGATTCCTGCCTAGTTGCTACACTGTTGCTCTCGACGCGGAACGTCTTGGGATATGCCTTCAGCAACGAGGAGGAGGTCGTCAAGTATGTAGCAAGCTTAATGCCACTTACAACACTCATAAGTGTTCTGGATCCTATTCAAGGGATTTTTTCAGGTCCTCGCTTGTTGTTTTAAGTTTTTCTCTAGCTAAACTTTGATTGTATGCAGGTGTAGCTAGAGGCTGTGGATGGCAAGGTTTAGGCGCCGTTGCAAACCTTGGAGCATATTATATTGTGGGTTTACCATTGGGATCAGTTTTGGCTTTCTTCTTCGATCTGAAGGGAAGGGTATGTCTGACTTTCAAAAGCTATCCTCGTGCATCTTAGTTTTCTGACTCTCTTTACAGGGTTTGTGGATTGGAATAGTTTGCGGCATTGCAACTCAAGCGACTCTCCTCACAATCGTTACCCTCTCGACAAACTGGCAAAAACAAGTGAGGAAAAGAGCTACTGAGGTCATGATACTAACTTTTAACATCTTGCAGGCTCGAGAGGCTTGGGAGAGAGTGCATAGAGAAGAAGAAGGTCTGGAGGAACCTAAAACAGGTAACGCTAAATGCAAATCATCTGTTTGATTCATCACTTTTTGGTTTCAGGATCTCAACACTGTTGAAAATATGGGAACTTCGAAAAGAGAACGAAAGGAAAACCAGTGATTTTGTGCGTGAAATTGCATTTTAATTTAAAGAATTGACGAAGTGTCTACTCTGCCCTACTGCCTATGTGGCAGCTCTCTTGTTGCAAGGTGTTATGACTTACAAACAGGTCAACTCGTCATGTTTTCCCCAAAAAGTGTTTGCCTTAAATAATGATTTTAAAATTATTATATAAAGTTTTTAAAACTGTGAGGTCCAAGTGTACAGTTATGATACTATATACTAATATTAGCATAGTGGCATTTCTATC